TTTTTTTTTTTTTTTTTTTTTTTTTTTTTTTGTTGATGCTTATTTTAGTTAGTTTTTTTTTTGCACTCTATTTTGATTTGTCAAAAAATAGCTTGTCAAAAAAAAATTATCTGCTTTTTAATGTGTTTTATTTTTCAGGTTTCACTGGATATTAGTTACAACGAAGAAGAGATCTATAAGCTTTCGCAAAAACGAGAACCAAGACTGTTGATAAGAGTCGGTTTTTAAAGCTATTTATTATTTGTATACAACTTTTAACTGTTAGTTTTACGTACATTAAATTTTGCTATTGTAATTGGTATTTGTTTCAGTTTCCAAGTTCTTCACGTCCAACAGTGTTCGCAGAATGGGCATCTGGTGTCAGTTGTACACTAGATCAAGAAACCGTCAATAAACATATAACAGCTATGGTGGACGCTGTTTTCAAACACTATGACCACAATAAAGATGGTTTTATATCGCAATCAGAATTTCAACAAATAGCTGGCAATTTTCCGTTTATAGCACCATTTGGAACAATTGATACCGACAGGCAACGTTATTTTTCTTTTTTCACTAAGAAATTTCATTGAGAATTGTAATATTAAATTTTGTAAGTTGATATACCAAATTCTAAACTTATTTATGCCAGTTTACATTGATAAGAACTTTTTTCTTTCAATTGTTTAATTTAAGACAATTTTAATCACTCAACCGACAAGACCGTTGTTCACCTTATCTGAGGTTTCATTATTAGACAATGTTCGACGACATTAATAAGCCGTTTACTGTTTATTTTTTAGAGATGGCCAAATTACTAAGGAAGAAATGAAGTCATATTTTATAACTGTCAATAAGCAGTCAATGGAATTCCGACATGGATTTAAGCACAGCTTTGTTGAAGCATCGTTTATTAGCCCAGTGCTCTGTGCACATTGCGAAAAACTGGTAATTATGCTAATATAAATACATTGTCAGCTTTTTTAGAATAATCAGTTTTTTTTTTTTTGCTTATTTAAATATAGGATAAAGAAAAGCTCAAAAAAATTGTTATTAAAATTTAATTAAGTTAACAATACTGTAACCTATCTTAAAGGTTGCAGCTGCAAATACAATATTTTACATTTTGGTATCTCTAGAAAGCTCTTTAGAATACTGCTATTAATGCTGGCAAATTTCAAATTTTGTAGACGATGAGAGAAGACAGTTACACAATGCATAATTGAATTTTTTTTT